TCCGTCCTCATCCTTCCGGCACACTTGCTGACGATTTCTGAGAACTCTAACACAACCTGAAGAAAGAAAGCAAGTCAGATCGGAAAAAAAATTGCGGAAAGGCTGGGAAAGTGCCGAATCGCACCAAACTACTCAACGAACCGCAACGCAACCGCCTTGTACACTCGACCGGCCGATTCTCATTGCGCTTATAAGCGTTATAAGGGGCGGCCGATCTGAAACGGCCGATCCTTACGAAGTATAAAGGTACCTTAAGAATCGGCCGATCGAGGGTGGCGCGAGGCGGTTGCGTTGCGGCCCGCTGTTGAGTACCGACTTGGCCTGGCCCCATCCCAGCCCTTCCAACTTTTCTCCCAACTTTGACTTTCTTTTTTTTTCAGGTTATGTTAGAGTTCTCGAAATCGTCAGCCGGTATGCCGGAGGTACCGAATCCCAGTCAGAATGGTATTTGCTGCGACGCCGCAACGCAACCGCCGCGCACTCTCGGTCGGCCGATTTTTATTGCGCATATAAGCGTTATAATGATAGAACTATTGGTATCATGGAAAAACCCTAGGAAAGAGCAAAAACATGAACTCATTTTTCTCATTTTTGCGTGTCGTTACAGTTGCGCTTAATTTTAACATCCCTGTATTTGTTGTAATATTACCAGCGCCAATGTTTGTCTTTAGCGCTCAAAGCTGTCAATAAACTGATGGTTGAAATATGAAATGTGCTGTTCGTGACCTTGCTATAAAGCGATCCATCGAAGCATTATACACTGGCGGGGTTCTCGAATGGAGCGCCGATGGAAGCACTTTGTATTCTACCTGTACCAATGTAGTTAAGGCTATCAACTTGGATGACAACCTGTCATGGTAAGTTTCGAGATTTTCAAAAGATTATTTGCTATCTTCTTATCTAGTTACACCATTGGAGAAGCTGAGGAGAGCTTACGCATCACAAGCATTTGCTTGGATCATAATCGTTCGCGACTCCTTGTGGCCTACACTAATTACGTTGTGAGTTTGAACTATTCGAGTTGGTAGTGGAACCCTGTGAAAGTAATATTTTATAGCTGTACTGCTTCGTAGCTCCTACCTCACCTTTCACATTAATGCATATGAGTACAGATCCGTGAGTTCGCGCTTGGTGAGTCATGCGCAACTGTAGCTCGAATGTGGAAAACGATGCACACTGCGCCAATTTTATCCATGAAATTCAACAAAGATGGTTCTATGCTAGCGACCGGATCAGCAGATCATACCGTTAAGGTGAAAGCATTTATCACTAGAGCATCAGTCAACATTGCATTATTGTTTGCCTCAAGTATAAGTTGTTACAACTAGTGACCATATTTTTGTGTAATAATGAAATTGTCCAGGTTTGGGATACGGTACAGCAGCACTGCACCCATACACTGAAGGGACATTGCGTAGTTTCTGTTTTGCACTTCATACAGAGTGGTCGCCTTATGGTAGGATATGTGGAAGGACAAGTAGCCATGTTTGACCTTGTCAAAGGCGCTACCCATAAGCTGCTGAGGGAATGGAAAACCCACAGTAGGTGAGCTTTTGCGGTTGGTGAAGCTCATTCACTAAGTA